TTTTTTTAAATCCATTTCTGAAGAGAAGCATAAAAGAAAACACAATGGGACCCAGGCTCGGCAACTTTCGGTGCGCAGTGAAATTCAGGGTTGGCAAAAACAGGCTCGGAGGTACTAGTGGTTTAACCTAAAAATTCCACTCCTCCTTCCCTGTGCACTGTAAAATGGTTGAATTGGGATAAAGTCGGCCTTTTGGACGAACATGGACAATGACTATGTCTTCGCACGAATGCAGCTTAATGATCAGTACAACTGTATTTAGACTGAAAGATATCCCAAATACAGCTGTAATGACCGCCCGTTGTATTCGGGTGAAGAAGGTAGGTCGATGCCAGGGAATAGATGACAGATAGAAGATGAGAGCAAGAGAGAGGAAGGTGGTTGAAGATGGTAAGGCGAGTTTCTCTCTTGCTGCCTGAAGTCATGCCTGGTACGGGAAGGGGGCGTGATCAGCAGCAGTGCGTGGCTTACTTTGGCAAGTTTTTTGCGCTCAGATTTTTTGATGAAAATTTCTGAAAAATATCAGGGATGTAGAATGAGTGCTGCTCCGTTCAGGAAAACTGTTCGAAAAAAAACGACAGTGTTGCATTCTGCTGCTTGCGCATGCTTAGGAAGGCATAGGTGTTTGCATACAGCCATACGCGGGCCTGTGTATGCTGTAGGCGAAAACCTACATATAGGCTGAAACCTGTTGGATATGTAGGGATGTGAAACATGCCACAAAACATGTACGTAGCGATGTTAAACATGCTGGGAAACACGTCTCGAATTTGACAGTACAATACCATGATCGAAACTTTCAAAAGGTATTACTGCCCAAGCGACTTAACGTAAATGATAAATGTAATGACTGGAGCCATTATATTAGAACTACGTGGTAGAAGAGGCTCTTTTTTATTATCAATTTTAAACCATCTGCCATTACTCTTTACTTTCAGCTAGTACTACGAGATGACAGTGGACAATTGCAGCCATCATTACATCCAGCATAAAACTTAAACAGGAATAAAGACGCAGATGAACACACCCGGAAGCAAAACGCAAACTTGATAGAAAAGATTCAATAGTTTTCAAGAGGTCAGAGTTGTTTTCTTTTCAATTATAATCTTAGATAGAGAAGTCTGCAAATGAAAACGTGGGGGGGGGGGGGGGGGGGGGGGGAGGGGGCAGGCAGGAGAGGGGGGCGTGCAGAGGTTTCATTTTGGGATTGGTTCTTCTTTTTTCCTCTAAGCAATCGGAACAAATACCTCATCACTGAGTCCTCAGGTTTTTTTTGATGAAATCATGGAAATGAGTATTGGAGGGGGTGGAAGGGGTAATCCCGTCACCTCCCTGACCCCGTTAAACTCTGGTGGGGGGGGCGCTTCTACTGGCCCATTACCCCAACTTGAGTGTCTCCCTGCAGTCGTCAGGTTTTGCCTACAACTCCCGTACGGCCCATGGTAGGGGGGTGCTGTGTAGGTAGGCTAAAACTAGAAAAGCTCGAGAAATCAAAAAATTATGTAGGGCCAAAATAAATTTACTCAGGATTACAAGGAGGTGGAGGTGCTAGAGGAAGAGCTGGAGGTGGAGTAGGAGGGAATGCACGCAACTACAGTCGCTATGCGTGCCTTTTCTCTCCACTCTCTCCAGTCACAAAATGCTAATATATGCTTCAAGCGTACAGCTTTTTCTTGTTCTCATGAAGCCACAAAGTTTTGAAAACGTCAATATAGAGAATCATGCGATCTCTATACCTTTCTCGACCTTTGGCTAAGATCAAGTGCAGTGTATCTGTTCTTATCAGTTCAATATCTGATCCGTGGTCCATTGGGCCACATAAAAAAAAGAAGAAAAAAGAAAGAATCATGCGATCCCATTCTACGGCATTCTGCTTACATCAGCAGGCTGAACTTTGGCTTGTTTGTAGAGTGCCAGAAATGCATTGAAGGAAACAAGTCAGGGTTTAAACCATACCTGCAGCACACAGGTGCGGTGTGCCAGGCGGTGCGGAGCGCTATGCGCTGTGCGCTGGTCCATAGTGCGCTGTGTGCTGTGTGGTGCGCGCGCGCAGGGGTGCGCAGGGGTAGCACACGTGCACTGCATTTTGTTTTTTAATATTATTTTTCCTTGCAGGGCAGAGACTCCGGTATGTGGTTTGGGGTTTTATTGAACTGTGACGTGGGATACAGTGGAAGATCCTCCTTCCTCCCTCCGTCATTTTCCACCGCGGTCTTTCATCTTCTCCCGCCTCCCTCCACCATTTTTCCTCTCCTCCCTCCTCCCTCCGCCACTTTCCCCGCCATCTTTTGACACCGCCATCTTGCATCATGAGGATAAGAGTGCCACGCCGGGCCAACTGCTGGGCCGACTGCTGGGCCAACTTCGATAATGGCGGAGAGAGGGAGGATATGAAAGATGGGGGTGGAAAGTAGTGCAGGGAGGAGGGAGGATATGAATAATGGCGGAGGGAGGAGAAAGGAGGAGGAAGAATGGGGAGAAAGATGATGGCGGGAGGTGGAGGGGATGGAGAAAGACGGGGAGAAAGTAAAGTCTGTGCAATGTGAGCATGGTGGAGAGCGGAGGGAGAATGTTACGGACTTCGCCAGGGCTCGATCCCTGGTCTATCTTTTGTTGTTTCGGCTGCATCCCGTTTTCGGCCTGGCACCCTTTTTCCAAACCCCTCCTTTGGTACCGTAGGATTTTGGACAACTGGCGCCATGCTGCAATTCGGGCGCCACTTTCAAAGACTGCATT